GTGGCATTTCCTTATAGATCCTTTCTTGAGCTACTGTTAGCTTCATATATCTCAAATTACTAGTGTCAGCATGTAAACACATGCTCTACTTTTAGGCAATGCAAGTTGGTCTGCTATTGAAGATAAGGCCCACAACTTCCCAAAGAAAATGATGATGAATTAATTAAAAGAGACCAGTGGTATGATTTTAGGGTTCTGCGACGATTAAAACCTTCCAGCCAAATTGGAGATTCTCTGGGGATTGAGACAAAGAACTTATTGAGGTGCTCCATATTTATTTGGATTTCAGACAAAGGAAGGAAATACTGAGGAAAGTTCGGGCAGCTGAGCAGGACCATCAGAGTCAGTTCAAAGACTTCTCCAAATAGTAAATTATGCTGATGAGGAGAACTATCTTAACTCCAGGTTAGCATTCACGGCAGGGCAGGGGTGAGATGCTGGAAACTACAGTCTCTATCTAGTTATTTGGGTTGGAGCCTCAGCTGGGACAAGTGACTCACAGAGGGTCACTTCCTGTGAATCCACCACCCACCTCCAGACAAGGGGCTTAGGCCTGGGACAGACTCACAAGTAAACATAGAAAGCAAATTGATTGATCATCAATCCTGCTCAGATCTACTTTCTAGTGATCTCTATTATCATACAATTACATTGAAAATCAAGTGATGACAATGGAAATTTCCCCTGACTTCCTAAAAAAAGTCTAAGAATATAATGTGACAAAATTTGGTAAGAAAAGAGCTGTCTCCAGTAATATTCTCCACATGTTTCTTCATTTTAAAAATACCCTGGCAAGCTGAGCGTGATATCTCATGTTATATCAGCAATACTGATAATATGGGAAGATACAGGAGGAGAACCACAAATTTGATCCAGTTTAGGCACCTTAGGGATACCCTATTCCAAAACAAAAATAATACAAGAAGCCACGGATATGGCTCACTGTGAAGTCCTTAGTTCAGTTCTGGTACCACAAACAACAGGACAAAATTATCCCCTCTGCTTTCATTAAGAATGGCTGTGTCAGAACCCATTCCATTAGGGGAAAAATCTAGAACAAAGTATTTTCAACTGCTCTCACCTCTGGTTGTGCGTCTTAGTTTTCCCTAACACTGATTATTTACACATTTGTCCTCACAAGGAAGAAGTGAGCTTTCTCTTTAGGTATTGAAAAAAGTATGATCACTGAGTGAAAACTGGTTTGCAAGCCCACAGTACTGCTGTGAAGTCATTACTGGAGGGTAAGAGAAGCCTCCTGCAGGGTCATCTGTATTTTGGGGAATGGCAGCTTCACATATACGACAGAGTGCCTCAGAGATTTCCCTGTTTTATTTTTCATTTACAAGTTTCTATTTTATTAGTACATGCTCACAGTACATAATGTTTGCATTCCTTATGTAGAGAGCTGCGTATGAGTAACACATTTTAATGTAGTTTTCTGACCCTTTTTCCCCTTTTTTTATGTCTTTAACCCCGTCCCATTTCAGAGTAGTTTACCTGCCTACTTAAAGTTTTCTGTGTTTATTTTGCTCTTTATTTTTTGGGTTCCTCATATAAGCGAAACAATGCAATATTTCAGCTTGTATGTCTGGTTTATTTCACTTAACACTATGATAATGAGGACACAAATCCCTACATATCCACAGACAACACAGCCAGCATCAACTGGGTACACTATGGCGCACACCTGTAATTCCAGCACTCCAGGAGACTGAGGCAGAAAGACCCCAAGACTGAGTCCATCTTGGGCAACTTAGCAAGACTTTGTCTCAAAATAAAAAATAAAAAGAGATAGGAATTTCAATCCCCAAGACCACCAAAATGGAACAATTCCAGTCAGAATGTAGAGTGGAGACTGGCGGAGCCTCTCCAAGCTTCCTGCCATGGTCCTAACTCCCTCTGCAGTAACTATCAACAGAGAATTATGACTAAAACCAAAATATTTCAGTAAAAATGTAAAACCATACTTACAACACAAAATATATTTTTGCAGATCAATATTCTAATTAGGGAAATACATATATATTTAAATCTACCTATGCAAGATATATACATGGAGCCATAAAAATAGCTACACTTTTCAGTTTAATAATCACATACCAAGTATTCCAAAACATTTTCTTAGATTTCACACAATTTGAAAGTTATTATGCAACCTTTTTCCTCACTATTGGAAACTGAACCCAGGTCCTTCATACTCAGCTATATCCCTAAACCATTTTTTGAGACATTTGAAGTAGGGTCTCCCCAAACTGCCCAGGCTGGATTCATCCTGTCTCTGCCTCTCAGTCTTGGAATTACAAGCTTGTACCCAGGCCCAGCCTATGCAGCATTTAAACAGTAATAAACAAGCCTTATGATACATGAAAAGTTGGGAAGAACTAATGTAGACTGTTACTAAAATAGAAAAAAAAAAGAATTATGAATGGATAAAAAGTAGACATAAAGACAAAAATGAAACTGAAAAATGAAAAAAAGAAATCTTCAATATTGTGTTCCTTCTTGAATTTTGTTGTTTATTTTTGGGAATCAAATCCAGAGCCTCATTCATGCTAGACAGGTGCTCTACCACTGCTGACACACCCTGAGCCCACACAATTTTATATATATATATACACACACACATATATGCATGTATACATGTATATTTTGTGAATTTTTTTTTTCCGACAGTCTCACTATGTAGTCCAGGCAGGCCTCAAACTTACAGTGATCCTCCTACCTCAGCAGGCTACCTCAGCCCCTCGAGTACTGGGATTACAAGTGTGTGCCACCACACTTGGCAGTCTTTATATTTTAATATTAATCTATTTTATTGTATTTTTATTTTATTTGGTACCAGGGATTGAACTTTTGACTTTGCGCTTGCCAGTCAGGTGCTTATGGCACTGATCTAAATCCCCAGCCCCATAATATTAACCTAGTAATTAATAAGTTTTAGAAAATTCATGTTCTCTTTTAAAGTAACTCCTCTACTTTCAACCAATCGTTATAAATACATCTTTCTATCTGTCGGTTCTCTTAAAGCTGGCTGGTTATACAGACTAAAATAGTGGTAAAAATCTCATTACAGGGGTTGGGGATTTAGCTCAGTAGCATAAGTGCCTGCCTGGCAAACACAAGGTCATGAGTTCCATCCCGGGTACTGCAAAAAAGGAAAAAGAAAAAAAAAAATCTTGTTACATATCAGGGTGTGGGGGCTGGGGATTTAGCTCAGCGGCATAAGCACCTGCCTTGCAAGCAGGCAGTCGCAAGTTCGATCCCCGGTACCGATAAAAAAAAAAAAAAAAGAAAAAGACAAAAAAAAAAAAATTAAAAAAAAAAAAAGATGCTAAGGTAGAAGGACTGCAGCCAATGTGGGCAACTTGGCAAGACCACACTCAAGATGAAGTTATAAAGAAGGGGGAAGAACAGCCAGGCGTGGTAGCAGACACCTGTAATCTCAGCACTGGGAAGGCTGAGCCAGGAGGACAGTGAGCGCAAGGCCAGCCTGAACTACAAGGGGGAAAGAGTGCTGATGATGTAGCTCGGAGTTCTGCTTCAATCACCAGAACTGCAAAGCAGAAAAAAGAAAAGGCTGCTGAGGCATGTTGGGTGCATGTAAATCCAGCTACTTGGGACTCAGGAGGCCATAAAGCAGAAGGATCAGAAATTAGAGCCCAGCCTGGACAATGAATTTAGTAACCTAACAAAACCCTGAATAAATAAAGAAGTATAACTTGGAATGTAGCTATTGCAAAGACTCACATTTCAAACACCAATACTGCAAAAACAAAACCAAAAAAAAAGGCCAAATGAGGGACACAAAAACACTCACTGTTAATCTACAATGGGGTAAGAGCTAAATATTAAAAACAACAAAGAATGGGCTATAGCTCAGCAGCACAGTGCCTGCCTGGCAAGCACAAGGTAATGAGTTCGATTACCGGTACCAAAAACAACAAAGAAAAATGATTGAAAACAGGGACTAAACAAAAACAATTTGAGACAATACTGTAAGCATGACAAAGAATGGGGTGATAAAAAACAACTAGCTTGGTAATTATTTCTTATTTTGTTAACGTCAAAGTAGAAATGACAAACCATGATGATATATGATTATAATTCCAGCTACCCAAAAGCTGAGGCAGGGGGATTGCAAATTCAAAGTCAACCTAGGCAACTTTGGGATCCTGTTAGTTTGTGTCTGAATGTCCCCCAATAGCCTCATGCAGTCATAGAGCGTGGCTTTTTGGAAGTGGCTGGCTCTAGAGTTTGTGATCAATTCATGGTCCAATGCTAGGATTAAGGATGTTGAGTCTGCATCTGTCCTATGTGTGGGTAGCCTGCATACAATATAAGGCATAGAAAGAGATCTGTCTTTTTTTCTTGGTACCGGGGACTGAACTCACCTTGCGCTTACCAGGCAAGCGCTTGAGGCACTGAGCTAAATCCCTGGTGAGGTTTGTCCTTTGCTTGCCTTGTTGCTTTTGCTGTTTTCCAATACCATGAACTGTTGCCCTCTGCTTTATACCACCTTGCCTTGGAACCAGCTGATTACAGACTGAAACCTCTACAAATGTGAGCTTAAATAAACTTTTCCACCCTTACTGGGGGGTCAGATATTTCGTCTCAGCAACGAGAGACCGTATCTCAAAATAAAAAAGGGCCAGGGGGCGGAGATATATAGCTCAGCAGCACAGTGCCTTCCTGGCAAGTGTGAGGTCGCGAGTTTTTTGTCTTTTTCCTTTTTATCGGTACCGGGGATCGAACTCACGACTGCCTGCTTGCAAAGCAGGCGCTTATGCCGCTGAGCTAAACCCCCAGCCCCCGAGTGATGACAACGCTTAAGTCAACTGAACACTTTTTGCTTTTTAAGAATGGTTTTTGTTTTATATCGCAATGTTTAAAAAGACTGCGCGCGGGGGGCTGGGGATTTAGCTCAGCGGCATAAGTACCTGCTTGCAAGCAGGCGGTCGTGAGTTCAATCCCTGGTACCGATAAAAATGAAAAAGACAAAAAAAAAAAAAAAAAAAAAGACTGCGCGCAAGGTAAGGAGCGGGAGACTGAGGCAGGAAGGTTGGAGCTGGCCAGGGGCCACCCGCCAAATGTCACCCGGGGGTGCGCGTGGGCGGGGGCAAAGCTTCAGCGCTTGGCTGGCGGTTGGTCCTGCGCTGGCGGTTGGCCCTGCTCGCGGCTAGCAGGACCCCCTAGGTCTCGAGGGACGGATTCTAAACCACTGCACGTTGCCCAGGAGACCCCAGTGATGGCACTGTGGACTCGCCTGTATGGCCGCGTCCTGGAAAGCTCTAGGGTAAGTGGGGCCAGAACTTGTACAGCACCCGGTGAGGTGCTAGAAATCATCGTGGTCAGGTGTGCGGTCGCGGGGATCTCTTGCTGGAGGGTCGCACCTGCCTGGGGTACTACCTGGAAGTCTTCAGCGATCCCTGTCGCCCTCATTAGGCCCGTCTGTCTATGTGACACACTTAATAGCCTCTCATGATCGTACCTCTCACCTTTCCTTCCTAACCATTCTCCACTGTACTGAACTGCTGTATTTCCATTGTGAAGCCTTCTTTTTTTTTTTTTTTTTTTTTTTTTTAGCTGTAAACTTAAGTTAGGTTGACTGAACAACCACTGCAGTCCTTGAAAAACATCTCTCTTGAGCCATAGCAAATCCAATTCCTTTCTGTGTTCACTAAATTAAGCCCAAGAATTCAGGCAGGCCTTCCCAGGAGCTGACTGCACACAGTCAATAAGATGTAAGATGTAAGATGCCTGTTGGATTTTGTACTTGTCAGTTTTCCTGGCTGTATACTGCTTCTGTGCTTTTCCTGAAAAAGGATTGAGTGGAATGGGCCCCTACCAGGAAATAGAAAAAAACTAGGTAACAGAAGCGCACTTGTTTTCAAAACTAAAAAGTTTGCTTTTGCAAACAAAACCTCACATGGTTTGCTCTATTCTTTATAGGAGAAATAAGTAGCTCTCTTTGGGCCTTACATCTTCCCAGCGTTGTTGTCTTCTTTAGTGTCTTCATGTGGTGGCTTTCTGCATTTAATGGGTGCCTGGGTGTATCTTCACAGAGTATTTGCATCCAAAGAATAACAGATCTGTGAATAAAGAGATTGTCAGCTTTCCTTTATTAGCTACAGATACTCATAAAGTTGTAGATTTGTGGGAACCTGTATTTTCCGTATAATGACTAGTCCTGTGTTTTTGTTCCAAAATGATGTGTGAGGTGATGCCCACCATCAGTGAAGAAGGCCCTTCAGGAGGAAGTGAAAACCATGGATCTGGCTGCCCTTCACAACCAGATGCAGATTCCCATTTTGAACAGCACATGATGTCCATGCTAGAAGAAACAGACATTGCTCAGAGCACACTGATAGAGACTCAAGAAACATTGGCGTTGACCCAGGGGAAATTACTCGAGGTTGGTCATGAGAGAGATTCGTTGCAGAGACAACTCAATACTGCGCTTCCACAGGTATGTGTGGTTTTCACCTGAAACTACAGGTTTTTTCTGTTACGTGTCTTTCTGTGGTACCATCTTTTGTTTTTGTACCTGTATATTTTGTGTAACCAACCACTTGTCAAATGATAGTTCCTAGTGTTTGTAAGCGCATGCAGAGTTCCTGGGGATTCAGCTACTTAGGGCAAATAAACTAGTGTTCTGTAAAGTCATGTGAAAATATCTTACTACTTTCACTCTTCGCTGAGGAACTGCTAAAGATTTGGGAATGCACTTTGAAGGTTTTTTAAAAAGACTTGAAACAACAACCAAGCGGCATGGTCCTTGGTTTCTTTGATTCTGTTTTGTGAGATCTCTTGCTTAATGTAGGCTTCCCATGGCTTGTATCTCAGGAATTGTATGTGTGTTTAGGATTGTATCTCAAGGATTTGCAGTTTTCTAATGAAATTTAGTAGATAATAATTTTTTTTTTGTTTTTGGTATCAGGAATCGAACTGAGGACCTTGCTCTTGCCAAGCAGATGCTTGTTGCTGCTGAGATATTATCTCTAGCCCTTGAAATTTGGTAGACAAGGATTGATTTCACAGAGAAAAATTTTTACAGACGATCTTTACAGAATACCGGTGTTTGTAAATCACATTTGTAATAAGGGATAGAAAACTGGAAATTTATTCTTTAGGAACTTTCTCCTTTTAGACTAGACTTCTAAGTTTAAAACAACTGGGCTGGGGATTTAGTTCAGCAGCATAAGCTTCTGCCTGGCAAGCATAAAGTCATGAGTTTGATCCCCAGTACCAAAAACAAATATATAAAAGTAAAAACCACCTCAAAGTTGGAAACAACTGTAGTTCTTTCTTTAATTATATTACATTCAGCTCAGTATCTCAAAACTGCCTCTTGTGGAATTAAATGGAGACTGAATGGCATGCGAAGGGAGAACATAGTAAAACTAGAAAAATGTAAGGTAAATGGTACACAGCATAGTGGGAGATAAGTAGCTTATTATTTAGGTGTTTATAAGCCATCGAGTACCATTTTACTTGTTCATAATAGTTGCCTTTCTGGTCCATTCAGGTAGACCTGAATAAGCATACATCTATGCTGTCATGATGAGTCTGCAGTGATAAATCGGCAAATGAACACTAGCCCTAATGTATTTGTTGGCTATAGTCAATTCTCCTGAAAGATTAATAAGCCAAGCATTTGAATTTCCTTTTTAGAAACAATAATTTGATGTTAGTGCTATATGTTTCTTTTGTTGGTTAGAAAATCAGTAAATTGTTTGCTTTTGTGGAGCATAGGGTTGAAGGAGGGCTTCATTTGTGTTTGCCTAAGTGCTCTGTCACTGAGCTCCATCCCTCCTAGTCACATTAAGATTTTTCTCATTGGAATCTTATAAATGTCAGAGTTTATTTAGGTCAGATTTTACTATAGAAGATTATAAGAACTGGCCAACTTGTATTTGTGTAGGGAGGTAATGGGGAGCAGTTTATGTGAAGGATTTTATAGTATATACAGGTATTTGTAAATTTGTGATGGTTTAGTTTTGTTTTTGTAATATATTGACTATAATTTGAGATATATCTACAGTTTATCTAATACATAGTTAATCTATTCAGTTTTTGGAAAAAACAGGCAGGCAGGACCTGAGAGGGAAGTGACAGGAGTTTTGTAGAGTTGGTTTCAGGCAGTGGGTGTTGTCACACCTGCTGATGAGGTGGTTGCCTGGTGATTTGTTTCTGGGGGGTTCTCAGTGTAGCAGCCTGGAAATGCTTAGTTTAGTGCATAATGTGATGATGCCACCAGGTCCCGTCACCATCTGAGCACCTGATGCAGCATTTCAGAAACACAGAAACCATGAAACAAACTTGTTTTGGTCCTTTTCCTTTCCTGGAATCAGGCTCATCTTTGGTAGTTGTTTGACTAGAGAGGCCTGTCAAGTAAGTGCCCGGTGTACTTTTGGCACATTAGGTAGGCAGGTCAGAATGTGCCCTACTTCTAAAAATGGAAGTAAAAGGCTGGGCATGGTAGTGCATTCCTGGAATCTTCAACCCTTAGGGAGGCCAAGGCAGGAGGATCAAAAATTTGAGCCCAGCCTGAGAAACTTAGCAGTTGTCTTAAATAAAAAATAAAAAGAGAGCAGAGAATGCTCCTCAGAATGAAGGCCCCCAACTATAGCAAATATCAGAAATCTTCTCAGCGAATTTTCCATAGAGCCAACACACTTGAGAAACAGTTCCTACATCAAAATGAAACACTGGAAGCCCCTGCCTAGTTTCCAGTACAGGTGTTTCTCATTTAATTACCTGCTTAACAACTGTTTGGACTTCCCTGCTGCTCAGACTTATGCCTCCTCTTTTTTTGTTTTTTGTAAAGTTCTGCACATCTGGTTCAGAGACTCTCAATGGTTTGTTTTTTTTTTTAGTTTGTAATGTTTATACAGTACTATACTTTTTCTGATGGTACTCTATGGTACTGTAGTTTCATGTTCTGTTGTACATTATATACTGCATAGAAGTTGTGCAAATAAAGGCAAAGTCATCAAGTTGGAGTTTCCTTTGACCATTTCTTTGTGCTGAGTGTTGTAATGTATGTACTATATACAGCTCCTCATTTAGCAACTAATTCTTTTAACGCTGTACTGACAGGAATAGGACTTGGTGGTTAAATGAGGAATCCTTGTACCTTTCCTCCAATTCTAACAATGGTCTTGATCTCTCACCATTGATTATTTTTGCTTCTTCTTGACTAAATGAAGTAAAATAGTACCTATATTGTGTTTCTTGGTTGTTTCATTGTTCATGAGATTTACCTGTGTCCTATATTTTTTGCCTATTCTCATCTGTTGTCTGGTAATCCAGCATACCAATATATCAAAATTTGTTCTTTTCTATTCATGAACATTCAGGTTGATTCCAGTTTTTATCAATTCTATCCTGAGTATTCTTGTGTATTATTTCTTTTGTGTATGAGAGTGAAGCTATGGCTGAGCATGGCGGCATATGCCTATAAACTCAGCAGGGCAGAATGTTGAGGCAAGAAGACTGCGAGTTTGCGCCCCTCTTGGGCTTTATACTGAGAACCTGTCTTTTTTGGGGGGCGAGGTAATGGGACTTGAACTCAGGACGTTGTGTTGCCAAACAGGAGTTGTGCCACTAAGCTATATCCCTGGCCCTCGGATCCTTTAAAAAAAAAAAAAAAAGCAGAGAACTGTGGAGTGATAGATATACCATGCATTTGTTCAGCCTTAAGAGATATTGCTAAAAGTGGCATTGTACTGACACCAACAGCATGTGAGAAGTCAGTGCGCATATCATCTTTACCCCTGACACTGTTCATTCTTTTTTTTTTTTTTTTTTAAACTGGTACCAGGGCTCGAACTCATGACCACCTGCTTCAAGGCAGGCACTTATGCTGCTGAGCTAAATCCCCAGCCCCCATTGTTTATTCTTTTATGTTAGCTTTTCTGGTGCCTATTTAATGGGAGAGGTGACTTAGTGAGAGAGGTACCAGAGATCGAACTCACGACTACCTGCTTGCAAGGCAGGTGCTTTTGCCACTGAGCTAAACTCCCAGCCCCTTATCGTGTATTTCATGTATTTCTTTAGCATTGCTACTTCTTCATCTGAGAAGGGTCTGTTCATTTTTGATGCCCATTTTTTGAATTTGGGGGTGGTTCTGTATTTTTGAGCTCCTTATATATTTTAGGCATTAATCCTTTGTCTGAGGAACAGCTGGCAAAAATGTTTTACCATCGCGTGGGTTGTCTCTTCACTCTCTTGGTAGTTTCTCTTGCTTTTCAAAAGATTTTGAATAAGATGCAGTCCAAGTTGTTGATTATTTCTGATAGAAGCTTTGCAATTGGGGTTTTTTTCCATGAGATCTTTGCCTATACCAAAGTCTTCAGTTCTACCTGTCTTCCAGCAGATTGGAGTTGTTTCTATTTTCATATTGAAGTCTTTGAGCTATTTGGATTTTAGCTTAATGCCTGGGAAGGGATATGGGTCTAGTTGTAATCTTTGGCATGTGGAAAGCCTGTTTTTTCCAGCACCATTTCTTAAAGAAGCTATCTTTCTTCCAGTGAGTATGTTTGGCTCCTTTGTCAAAGATAAGATGATTGAGTATGCTGGAGTTGTTTCTACATCTTAAAATCTGTTCCATTGATCCTTGAGTCTGGTTGTTTTGTTTTGTTTTGTTTTGCCAGTTTTTATCACAATAACTTTGTAGTATAATTTGCAGTCAAGGATTGATTGGATTCCTTTCTGGTTTTGGTATCAGGATAATACATGCTTCCAGGAATGAATTTGGGAGTATGGCTTCTCTTTCAATTTCTTAAAAGAGACTGAAGTAGTAGTATTAGGTTTTCTCTAAATTTCTTGTGGTGTTCAGCAGTGAATCTGTCAGGGCCTAGGGTTTTCTTTATTGATGGGTTTTTAATTACATCTTCACTTTCACTGACAGATACTGATTTATTTAGAATTTTTATACCTTCTTGATTCAGCTGTGGTAATTCATATGTAACTAGGAATCTGTCTATTTCTTCTTTGTTTTCTATCTTACAATACACATTCTCAAAGTAGGTTTGGTTTTGAGGATCTTCTGAATATCTGTAGGGCTTCTTGTGATTTCCACCTTTTGATTCCCAATTGTATGTGTTTGGGTCTTTTTTGTTTTTAATAAGGTTGGCTGAGAGTTTGTCAAGTTCATTTAATGTAACACAGAACTCTTTGTTTCATTGACTCTTTGTATTATTTTGTTAGTCTCCATTGCTTTAACTTCTGCTCTGTTCTCTATAACATCCTCCTTTTTACAAGCTTTAGGCATGACCTGCCCTTGATCTAAAAGCTTGAGGTTCAACAGTAGGTTATTTGAGCTTGCTCTGTTTTTCAGCTATGGGTATTCAGTGCTGTAAATTTCCCTCCTAGGACTGCTTTCATTGTGTTCCTTATGTTCTGTTACAATGTATTGGCATTATCATTTAATTATAGATACTATTTAATTTCATCTATAACCCA